TCTCTTCGTTGCAGCTCCTCTGCTCGATGACTAAAGACTTCGCAGGTGGTCTTTCGTCAGACACTCCCATGGCGCAAGTTGTCCCCTCCGACCGACTTGCCGGGAACTCCCCATGCCACGAAACTTGACCCAACCAAGCCTGCAAATCAGCAAGATCTGACATGCGACGGAACTCTACCCGCCCGATGCCTGACTATCATGAGCATCTGCTAGATCAACTGAACGTCCGTGAAATTCTGCCCGCCAGTCACTCACGAGAGAGAGGCTGAAACTCCTCTTAGCTCGGTGTGTGGAGCAACAACTGAATCACCTGGTGTGTCCACCGGAGTCGACACCATCCACGAACCAGTGAAATGTTGGCCGAGGACGCAGCTACCTTTCTCTGCCCGAGCACTTTGAACTTGCTCCGGACTTTAGTGCGTAGGCCCTACATTATGTCTCCACTCGCTGTCCAAGGACATTCGAGCTTGGCTTGTCTTCGAGGCTTCCTGTTCAGAACGCTTTCTGTAAAGTGAGTCCAGCAGCACATCTTACTTGGAAGTGTCCACACATCTGATTCACCAAAGGGGGGTGTCCAGGGTTTACGCCCATCTGGGTTAACATCCTGCAGCGTGTCTTCCAGACATGACGAGAGCAGGTGAATCTCCGACAGTTTGAATTGCAGAACGAACTGCAGAAACCCTAGACATTCAACCGTTCAACCCACCTGTCAAACGCAAAGCCCCCGCACCCTGAGCCCAGAACATCAGTAGCAAATGATTTGCAGCTCCGAAAACCACGTCGGATCCGTCTGAGCAGAACCATCCGGTAGCCGTCCAAGCCTGAAGCTGTTAAGTAGCCAAAAATGACAGACGCCCCAAAACCTAAATTTGTGGTTGTAGCTGGAAAGAAACACGAATGCAAATGCACAAGTACACAGCAATTCGGAGAACTGTGTCTAACCATAAACCCTGGATGTAAACGCGCAAGCCCGAAAGCCAGAACAGGGGGTCCTCGCCCCGCAGGTGGATCGTCAACTCCTTGCCAGAGGTTCTTGTATGCACTTGTGTCAATGGCTGCAGCTTGCATTGATGTGCCTCGCTTGTGTGCTTACAACCGACATTCTTCCGTAGGCCGTGGGGCAACAGTTGAAGACTTTCACCCAATCAACTTCGTTTCCTATATGCACGGGCCAACACATGCTAGAGGCGCTAATTCGTATCAAGCTTGCAGCGGCCACTCCCCTAGTAGTGGACGCAGTCGTGAACCGTGGTGATTTTTGAGGTAGCATTTAACAGTCGTGATGCTTCTGGGACTACACAACACCTGCCTCCTCCTCCTCCTGCTGCTGCTGCTGCTGTGCTACCTCATCGCCACCAGCAGCATCTGCACTTTTGCTTGTTCTTTACCAATCTCATCACTACAGATGAAAGCTCCTCATTCATGTCCATCATCATCGCCATGTCAGTATCCTCGTCATCATCATATCGCCATCATCATCATCATCATCAAAGCCAGCGAAGAGCAGTCCACAACTCGCCGCGATGCCTGCAGTGCTTACCTCGAGCATGGCTAAAGCGTTATCAATCTGCGATCCTCCTCAGCATCGTCAGCAACGGAGTCCAGACCTGAGCAGGCCAAAAGGTTCAGGACGTGGGGGACAGGGCTCTGGAGTATACAAGAGTAGACTTAAACAGGGGCTATGTACAAGGGGATACTATCACTGATTGTTCAGACCCTATGGTATCAGGCGGAAGTCAGGGGCTTCGCAAGGGTTCGAGGATGGGAGGCGTTTCAGAACAGCTACCGACTCACCCCTCTGGGCCGCTTGCATGTCCGGAACTTGGGCGAGAAAGCCTTGGCATGCAGGGCGACGGCAACATCATCGCCATTGCCGTGACAGGCAGGGCAGTGCTGCAAGACAATTAGCTGCGGTGGGAGAAGCTGCAACGTAACACAGTTTCATGTCAGTTGAAGCCAAAGTGTGAACCTATTGCAGCTTCAGAGATGCTCGAAAAGATTAGCAACGATGCCCTTACAGCCACAATTCCACACTACGGCTCGGCTAGAGCCTGCTGCACATCCTGGACAGCCTGCAAGTTAACAAGGAGCTGTTCTCCAAAGGTATGGGTTTTGGGATTCTCAAGTTCTCAAAGCTCGAAGGACCTTTCGTGCAGGCCCTGGTGGCAGACTAGTGACTAGGCCTCTCTGCTTCTTGCTCCCTCTCTCGCCTGTACCTGTGCCCACTGCCTGCTGAATACGGCTCGAGCCTGGAATTGAAGTCTGGGTTGGTGAAGCTCAAGAACCTACGCTTACCGTACCACTCAGCGGAAACTTGTTTGTCTTGGCTGCGCGCTTGATGCAAATTCTCCATCGCGAGGGTGCGGTAGTCCTTTCAGCTTCAGGTAATGTGGAGTTTCTCCAGACCATGGTCCTCTGAAAGTGCTTTGTATAGTTAGCGCAGGTTCGAAAGTATGGCTTGCGAGAGCCGCAATCTGGAACAACTCATTACGTCAAAGGAATGATCTGCTTGTGACAAGAAGCATAGGAGCCTGTCATGTAAAGGACAGCTAAAACACAAACTCATGTTGTGCAACGTTCTTTAGGAGACGGCAGGGGAGAAACCGAAGAACAAATCTTGTCGCAAACAAGTGTGCCGGACAAGCAGGGTCCTACACTCCAAGACCCACTACCCAAAACTCGCAGAAACCAATCAAGCCACATTCTAGAACGGCCACTAAATCCCACAGGCCTGAAGCACCAGAAACATACCAAATCGCAACCCCAACTCCAAAACCCGAACCAGCCAAACCCACAACGTCAAGGTTCGGATCCTGGGCCGAGGTTCCCTGGCATCTTTCGCCCTGCATGACGGAGTCTTTGGGGGTTACCGGGGTAGGGCGAAAGGGGTGTTTGGAAGTTTTGAGGTTGAGGGTCGCACGGCAGTCCCGGTACGGCTTCCAGATCACAAAACAAAACCCTGAACCATTATCCCGTAACCCCGCATCAAAGGGTCTAAACGCCTGCCCTAAACCTTCCTCCCTCATCCTCTTAAGAGCTCACGCGCCTCAAAGTTGTAGACTTGGCCCCTGGGCAGCATCGTCATCCTTACTGGAACTTCCCTGTGGCAGTGTCTTTGCTGGGCTCTACTTTGTGGTCCAGGACCCAACCCGAATCTGCACTGCCATGTTCTGGCTTCGCAACGAGCCCAAGTGCACTTGCTAAGGCCAGATCGGACACCAATGGGCCCCCTGAAGGCGTGAACTGCCAAGAGGCACCGTGACCTGAGTTGCAGGGTAAACGGATATCATCAAACATCTAAATCACAAGACAGCTGCCGTGTGAAGGGTTCAGGGCCTTCTGCCCGAAGATCTCTTGGAGGTACTTCTTCTGCAAGACCAATCTGACTGAGGTATAGTTGGAGAGCTTCGCAAATACTAGACCACCTAGGTGCGAGCTGACAGTCGGGCTACGCGGCACATGCGGCAGGCACACGCAAACTTGCTGCCAAAGTGCGAACAATGAAGCCCAAATTATTGCCTAGTCTTCCGGGCCCGTCGGTCACCTTCCACTTCAGGGCAAACTTGTGAGCTTTCGGTCTGCTGCTATCTTGTGTAGGCAAAATCGAACATTCGCTAGTCGCTGGCATCGCACAAGCCAAGGCCTGCATCACAGCTCCGTCGTGGTCAGAACCATCTGTCCAAGTGCGACCACGCTGAAGCAGTGCGCAGCTGTCGTCTGCTTGAGCTGCCGCAAGTTCCACGGATACACATTCAGCGCCGCGCTCGGTCCACCGGGAAACGTCAACTTGAGCGGATGTTTCAGACCACAGAAGCAGCCACAGCGCCCACAATACCATGTCGGGGCCCTCTTTTTAGTCACATGTCTGCCTTTTCAGGACGTGTTCTGGAGTTGAATCATACTATATTAGTCACAACGGCAAGAACGACTCGAACGTGTTGTTTTCTGGGTTGGCCATGAGATGGTGTCAACGCAGTTCTATATCGCTAGAACATGGTTGAGTTGACGAACTATCAGATGATCCTAGATGTTGACTAAAACACTTTTCAGAACCTGCACCCTGCACCCTAACTTCGGGCAAGATATATGTAATAGTTCGACACCGGAGCCTGAATCGGCCGCAACGGATAAGCTGGTAACAAGACACCGGGCAACCCGTTCTTGCATCACAGCATGGGCTAGCATGGGTTGCTATAGAGAAAGGTACCTGTTTTTGAAATTGCTAGGAGAGAGAGAGAGAGAGAGAGAGAGAGAGAGAGAGAGAGAGAGAGAGAGAGAGAGAGAGAGAGAGAGAGCAGAGCGACAGAAACGAATCACATAAATAGGTCATCTGCGAAGCACACTAGCAAAACAAGAACAATAAAAACACAAGGCCAATAAGTGCCGTTTGAGTAAAGTACAAGCGCTATCGAACTTTCGAAAAAGGCCGCACCTGGGTACAGAAAAATGTGCAGTTGATGATGCTGCGTCCGTGCAGCTGTGTGAGTGCACCACACTTGGCAATCACACGGGGGCAAAGACTTTACTCCTTCCTGGTATCAGTTCCTACAGCAACGGCAACTCGTTTCACTCATGGCAGGCGACCGATTTGCAGGTGAAGCTATGCGGTCTGGCTGCTTTAGCCCGAGTCTATCTTCTTCATTGAAACCGATCACTCTGTCACAGGGGACAGCTACCAGCATGTCAAACCCTGTCCTTGATTAGTCAGGCATTGAAGTTACTGCACTTAGGATAATGCAGGCCCGTCCAGACTCTGAGGCATGGGCTCGTTCACATGAATCAATGAATGACAAGCCAGGGATAGGTGCAAAGTCATGGGTATTTAGCAAGCCATCAGAACGAAGCATGCAATACACAATCTAGCATGTCCTGGCCCCGTCTGGGACCAGCATTGCACACAAGTGAGGACAACCAAAGCAATCAAGTTTGAACCCAGGAAACACGACACATCATGAAAAGAAGTGAAGAGAACGACTGAAATTGCGGGGCGCTGCACCATGCTAGGAAAGAACTGCTAAACAGTTCTCCGCAGCACGGTAGCGAAGTCCTGCAGCATAACGCTCCAGGGATGCAGGCGTGACCCCTTTTGGATCAGCGGAAGCTTCTGCTGGCCAGATCCGGAAATCGCACTCCATGTACATCAAAGCCACGGAAGTACGACCGTTGATGGTGCAGCTCTTCATCGCATAGAACAAGTACAAAGTGTCTCCAGTTTCGCTGCGGTCGAAACGACTATCACTTGTAGCCAATTCCTCCTTGCTAGGGTGATGCTTCTGTAGCGCTTTAGCTCCCTTTAGATCAGCAATCTTCGACTGGAACAGCTCGTCGATGACCGTAGTCTCCGCCTCGAACGTGTAGCACAAAGGGCGCCATTGGATTTTGGTACATACGGAAACATCCTTTGCCTCAATATAGCCAGGCTTGTTAATCTCTAGTTGCTTGTGGAGCCTTTGTCTTAAATCATCACGAGCCAGCTGGCTTGCACTGGCTTGCTGGTGTACCCGAATTTGATGTGGCACTGCATCGTCTCCGAGGTTTTGTAACTGGTGCTGCATCTCAGCATCACTAACTCCTGCCTTAGGCCATGACGATGGATGACTTGACATGTTGATATTCTGGATGAAGTAGCCTTCCACCAGCTTGCTTTTGTGCTCGTCGACCTCCTGAGTCGTTGGCGTCGTACGAAATGGTGAATCACGTCTTCCAGCTGGATGGCCTTCAGTTTCGCTACCGGCAGCATTTCCTGGTTCAGCCGGATGTGGAGGTGCAATGTCGTCCTGCTCTCTTCATACGGAAAATGAAAGTACATTTGCAAGCTGTCATTCTGCGTCTCGTAGCCAAATTTGTCCTGCATGTGCTGTTTAATATCGCGGCGCAATTCCCTCAGCCAATGCAAGTCTTTCATATGCAAATCCAAGATCGTCGCGAGGTACCGTCCATCCAGCTGTCTCATCGGCTTCATTGAGTGCTTTGCGCAACTCTTTCTGCTGCGGATGAAATTGATTATGCCCTTCGTGGTTCGGAAGCAGTTCATATCATGCAGGGGTGGATTTGTGTACTCACCCGATAAGACTTGCGGATGAAGATACCAGGCAATGAAGCTGACACCTCCTTGTTGGTTCTTGAGTGAAGAGCGGGTCGAAGATTTGTAGAAGCGATCAGCTTGAGATTGATCTTCGAGATACATGTGCTTTGCATGGGGCACACAATGAGCCAAGAAACTCGCTCATGAGGACAATACTCCTCAATGACGAAGAGTTCAGGTGCTGGCATGCGCAGTCTCCATAGAGCCAGTCCGAGCTCGTCGAGGCCTCTTCGCTGCAGCCAGCTGTCGACAAATTCGGGCAGGCTTTTGCCCAAAAGGTGGTAGCGGTCACGAAGATTCTTCAAGCCATCGTCCGTAAGCGCATGGCATAGGCATGACCTTGGCTGTACTTCTCCCTGGTGTTTTGGTTCGCTTCGAACTTGGTGTTGAACTCCTGCTCAGCTCTGCATTGGCGCATGCTCCCAAATCTGACGGATCGTGGTGCATGCATTCCTGCAAAGGCCGTGCTATAGGCAACCCATAGAACTGGGAAGGCCATCCGAGCAGGCGCTCGGGCGCGATCTCGACTCGTCTTCCACGTGGCCATGGCAAAGATCGCCGAACCCTTCCGTGGAACGAGGGCCCTGAGGGCAAAGTGTCTCGGCAATTCAGCGTTTGTTCAGGGTCGCGAGAGGGGAGAAGGGCGCTTATGAGCTCAAACCCGATTCATGACTCTCACTCTCGCAGAGGCTGCAAATTTTCAGCCTGCCCCAGTCGCCAGGGTGCAAGTGCACGAAACTAAGCCTACAGACTGAGTAAGTGCCATGGCAGGAACGAAACAGGCTCGTTGTCAACACGTCGGCACGGAAACTGAGTAGGACCTGGAATCTGGCGACCACAACAGAAAAACGGGATCCTTAACAGTGACCAAGCTCAGGGAGGTATTCGGCCCTGCACTCCCGAGATTTGTCGATCAAATTCCAAAGCGGTTGCAGCGTCGAGAAGGAGAAGGTCAAACCGAGCACAGCCACGGCCGTCTTGTCGAAGCAGGGCCTTCAAGTTGGATTCCACGACCACTTGCGCCGCTGGCCCCAGGCTTTAAACTTTCGGCCCTTGCAACCCGATGGTCCGGCTCCAGCCCGGCAAGAGTGCCAACACATGCACACGGCGTCCTGGTACAGCAAGATCTGCCCTTCTGCGCCATCCGAACTGGTGTCCACATCAACAGCAAATCTACCTAGAGGTGCAGCTCTGGGCCGTCAGAATAGGTGTCCATCTTGGGCTGTCGCAGCCCACCTTACCTGTGAATCTGGGGGATACTGCTGTACCATCCCTGCGTACTGGCTGTAGAGTCTCTCATCGGCCTCTTGTTGTATCAGCACATCCGTGTAAAGGTGCTGGAATCTGGCCAGCCTGCACAGTGTCACAGCTCTGGGACTTTAGGGACGAGGACTCAGGCTCCTGAGACAAGCAGGATAATCAACCATACTATTTTGGGGGTTACTTATTATAATTATAGTATTTTCCGCCCCAAAACCCTATTCTAATTATTAGGGCCCTTATATCATGCGGGTACCATGGCTGCGTCGACTATTCTCACTGGACATGGAAGACCGAGCCTTCAACGGACATCGTCATTATACTTGAACACCGGACGAGCCCGAAGCCCTCGACACCTGAAAAAACTCTTTAAGACAGAATAAAGGAGACGCCTGACGGCTTCGGCGCCCCCGTGGAGCTCGAAAACTGATTGGCGCTCGAGGTCAAAAAGTGCCTATGCATTTTGGCGGCCACAGTTCCCAGGTTTGGGGCCCTTGTGGCTGGTGGTGTCAGATGGAAGCTTTAACCCCTGATCCATGCATGAGCTTTTACAGGGTTATGTCCGATACGTGCGGGCGTTGTAGTGGTTCCCGAGACCAAGACTCTGAGCATCTCTGAACCCGAATCGACATCATCGGCCACCAAAACCTGAACCTCCTAGTGTTGGCAGTATTCATTTGAGGCTCCGGAGGGAAACGGTGGGCAAGGAGCTTTGTTGCTTCTTTCGGCAGCTCCAAAGCTGTAAGTGAGGGTTGGTTGGGCTAAAGACGTCAGAAGCCATGTGCAAAAGTTAGAGAGCATGTGGACATGATCACGGCATGGGCCTAAGCAGCATTGCTTCACGGAAGGGTTTCGGATTCCTCATGTTGTGAGGCTCGGAACTCCAAACGGCTAAAGAGTGACTGTCGGAAAGGATGCAACTTGAAACTCAAGTTGTTCAATACTTCCGGCTTCAATCGAGAGTAAGCCTGCAAAGTCACAGTGGCTCGAAACTGCAAGACCACAGGCCTTGGGGTAAACTTGAAATCTTGAGGCCAACTAAGTTTGGGGCTTATTGCCTCGAGCCCACCCCACAACGCCAAACCCCAGTAGATCCTGAAACTTACATGCAAAGGGTACCCTGCAACCCTAGCTCCATCAACCAAGGGGCGGCGATATGACTGAAACGGAAGTGGGAGGCCTGTGTCGCCTCGATGGTCCGCCGAACCTCCTCGGCCTCGTTACTCTCTGGTTCAGGTGGCTCTGGTGCTTAGGGTTCGGTCTTGGGGACGTCCGTTTGTGCAAACCTACATCCTGATTCGCTAACCCGAAGATTTCAGAAAGCGTCTAGTTGACTTGAAGGCTTCGTCTGAGGATTTCTCTCCGCGCTAAGAGGGTCAGAGTGGTTGTGCTGCTCTACTAGGAGCGATCTGGGCTTGGGCTTCCGAATTTAGGGACTTGTGCTTGGGGGAGGGGGAGGGATGTAGAATGTAGAGTTTAGGCATGCAGAGGTCTAGGGTGCAAATTTGAAGTTGAGGCCGTGCCATCTTGAATCTTATTCCCTGCGAAACATCTCAGGCACAATCATACTATACTATCGATCGATCTGCCTGTCTGTCTATGGATCTCTGTCTACCTTGCATCCATCTATCCATCTGCTCATGTGTCCACCAATTTCTCTAACTGTCTGTCAGTCTGTCTTTCTTCATCTATCCGAATACCTACCTACCTACGTACTTTTCGGTACCAGTAGATGTGCGAGTGCGGTAAAGTACGACAGCCGGCTAAGCCTTCCTCTAAACTTCGGCACATGCAGACCGCTCGTTTTGTTCAGAACGCCGCGACCTGAACTGTAAACGGCGACGCCCGAAACCCTGAGCCACATGGGTTCTAAGCTTTTGATTCCCAAAGAATGGGGCTGTACACAACCCTAGGACAACCCGAAACCCCGAAATGCCCGAGGCCAGCGCCTTGTCCACCTTCTTCACCGTGGGATTCCAGAACGAGTCGTGCTCTCCTATGGACAACATCTTGCGAACTGGGGCCAGATTCTTCTTGTAAGCATGGCTAGAGCATCTCGTTCTGACGGTTGGGCGAGGTCTACAGACTCCAGACCCGCAAGGCTTCCCGAGCGCATACAAACATGCGCACATGGCACTGAACCTGCAGGAGGCAACAAGCTGTTCTTAAGGGTAAATTCATCTCCGACTCTCTTGTTTTTCTTCTCCTGACAGGCAACATGGATTCGAGACCGAATCCGCCCGAAGTTCTACAGCACACAGCAGCTCGCAGTGTCGACAGTGCGTCCACTTACAAGGTGCTTGTGCAGTCTCTGCCCAGCAACTTGCTTTGCACGGACCAAAATCTCATGTTGGCCGTGTTCCACTTTAAATTCCCGGCAAAGTCGCGGGTTAAATTCACGTCGCTTGTGTCTCTCCTTCGTGCAAAGGTTCGGTACATCGCAGTGGTGTGCTGTCGACTGCTGACCCGTCAGTCTCTATTCAGGATTAATTAACGGTTTCCCGCTCTGTGAAGCAAGACATGTGCAACGAAGTCAGGCTTGCACTGTTTAGGGTAGAGACGTCATCCTTGCCCTAAAAGCCGTAGCGCACATCTCCTAAGCCCTGATCCCTAAAGCCCCAAACGCGGTCAGAGCCCCACACCTTGTCTCCTTGCATGCCGAGGGTCGAAAGGGCCCGCTGCCGTCACGTAGAAACCTCGGCGCTTCGGAGGCTGGTTTTCGGATCTAGCGATTGCGGAATAAGTATTTCTCTGATACTCTTATCAGGCTTGCAGAACCATGGGCTTCTAAAGAAACTCTTGCTCGCGATGTTGGCCGCTTTCCTAAGCGACCCAAGCTTGCGATTCAAGCGGCTCAGCAGAGTGACCGAGGCTTATTCAAGTTAATGGCTTTGGAATTGAAGGGTTCCCTTATGGTCAGACAATTTCCGTCGGGGGACCGGTGTGAAGCTGTCAGGTTCAACGGGTTCTCCAATGCTTTTGCTGTGAAGCCTCACGTGAGCAAACATGGCCGAAGTACGGGGCTATGCCTCATGCAGGCTTGCTGACGTAACTGCAATGGCTAGCCATAGCACTCACTACCTCGAATGGGCTGTGGTTCCGGGATTAAGAATCAAAAGTAAGGCTTCAATCAGCAAGGACCCCTAATGATCGTGAAGTCTCTGCTCGGGCTTGGCGGTGTTTTGGAGTGCGGGGCAAGGTCGGCTGTCCTGTTCAAAATGAAAAATATGAGTATGTACTCGGATGCATTACCCCAGATAAACATACGCATGCTGGCTGTGCCTATGCAGCACACGAAAAAAGAGGCACTCGCTGAACACCAAGCTGAATATTACTGACTGCAACAGCCCGAGCAGCACATACAGGGGCAGCTCTTGCAAAAAGACTCGGACATGTTCGGAGTTCCATGGCCAGCGAACTTGTCATGAGTGTTTCACGAAACTTTAGTACGCGAAGCCTGGATGCCGCTGCTTACGAACATCTGCGAACAAACGCAAGTCGTACAACAGGGCTGGCAAGTCCAGGAGCCATGTCAACTTGAAAGCAGTACTGCTATGAAATCACGCAGCAGCAAAGCTTCGGTGCACTTTAACGGATCCTGCAAGCCGGCCCCTTCCAAAGACTTCAATTACATAGCGTTTGCCTGAGTCTTTTTCGCACAGAACGCTTTGTCTGGGTTATCTTCACCAAAGTCATCCCCGAGTGCAACTAACCGCTACACCCGAAACCCTGAGCGGAACTTCTGCACCAGGCCACATGGTGCCGATCATTTTGTAGCTTGCGCTGGAGCTGCAACCAGCATGAATCGTTCGCACGTCGTCCTCTCCGTTGTCAAGGTAGTTGAACCTGCTTCATGTCGGGGGTTTCTGAGTTTACTGCAGCTTTACGGGGTCCAGAAGCTGAAGGTCCATTTTGCGACGCAATCAATGCCAAGGAGTCCGAGTTCCAGCACTTCTCAACTCAGCCGAGGAACCACAAGTACATGGTCCCTTTCCTTGGTGCATCCACGGTAGGCAGGCTTTTGGGATTCCAGGCCCTGTGACATGTGCGAAATAACCGGGATGTAGGGAAATTGAAACGAATGATCGGCAAAGCAGTGCTGAGACTCCCTCAAAGCCTGACCCTTATCGAAACAGAACCGCACCCAACAAGGAACGCACAACAGTTATGACCCCAAAGCAGCCGAAAGGTCAAATTACTGGCAGTAGTCTTCGGCATCAGACTAGTCGCGGGAGCTAGTAGAGCTAGTAAAGTACACACACTGCTTCTGCTTCTGCTTCTGCTTCGGCTGCTCCTGCTACTCCTGCTACTGCTGCTACTGCTACTCCTGCAGTCCTACTATAGTCCTACTACTCCTACTACTCCTCCTCCTACTCCTCCTACTCCTCCCACTCCTACTCCTGCTCCTCCTACTCCTCCTCCTACTCTTACGACTACTACTACGACGACGACTACTGCTGCTGCGTTCGTGCCAGAAAGTCGAAAGCTTGAGGCAAGCTGCGCTGGAAGAACCGGAATCTGTGCAGGTCGACCGAGCCTGTCTTCGGGTTTTCGTTGCAGCTCCCAATTTGGGTTGAGGGTTTAAGGGTCGGGACTGTGATTTTAACGCTTAAGGAGTTAGGACCTGCTGGCATGGTGTTAACATTGCATGCGCGTCCGTTCGAAAAGTCAGCTGCAAGTTGCCTGCACATGTCCTTGGCAGCTTGAAGGACGCGTTGGCGAAACTCACCGGGCTCGCCGGAATCAACTCTGCGATGTGCCTCAGCATGGTCTGGTGTTTAGGGTGACCGGTGCACTGTTGCTTGCTTTCCGACGGGTCGATCACCCGACCAGTCCTACAAGCCCCCCACTTACTACAGTCATCCAAGGCACATATGCTTCCGTGTCGCTTGCGACCTCAGCAGATGGCCCGTTTTGGGTTCCTAGGCTGTTGAAGTAGGAAGCCTGAAGCAACCATGGTTGGGAGCAAAGTGCGGCAATCATATCGTCGGTTGCTTGTGGGTCGTTCTGTGTTTGGCGAACTCCAATGGCAACCGGACTGTGTTAATGGTCTCAGTTCGAGATCGAGCTCGAGTTACAGGCCAGTGTTACTCCCACGAGTGCCCGTTCCTCCTACAACAACGCACAACTACTACTAAAGTTACTACTACGCTGCTGCTACTGCTGCTAGGGTGGGAGGTGGTAGTTCGAGGTGTTGGGGGTGGGGTGGAGTGAACGGCGTTGAGGTTCCTGCGCAGGGCATTCCAGCCTCGTGGCTTTTGTCGTCAAACTGTTGTGTTTATGGATGGGTGCAAGCACCACGGGTTCTGCTCGATTTCACGAACTTCATAGAACCTAAGCCCCAAAGCCATCCGAAAACCTTGAATTGCCTTGAACGTCCGAATGCTGGCATGGCGCACGATGCATGCGAGCGTCATTCAGGGCCCTCTGCCAGGCCCTGACCTGTGCCATCGCTTCTATCGGGCTATGCTTCAGGGCCTTCTAGGCTTTAGAGTGCAGAAGGCATGCAAAGTTTAGGGTGTCCTCGGTGTTGTAAATGCATTGAGTAGCGGGTTGCGTAGCAGTTGACATGCGAACTATCTGCATGGCGATGATATAAGAACCTTCTTCTGGGGTCGAAGGCTTGCTTAGCTTTCATGCTGTTAACTCCAAGAGCCTACAGGAGGTTCAGCGATTCAGAACCTTGTATTGGGCTAGGTTCAAGAAAGCCAACTCTCCGCTTTAGTTGGTTCATCTCGACTGACCGAAGCAAGACCGAGCGGCGTAGACATGTTGTTGTGGAGAGTCGGCGTCTTGACGATTTCTTGAATTCACTCCCTGAAATGGATTAGCCCTTGCCTCCTACCCAGGAGTTAGTGGCAGAATAGCAGCTGAAGCTGTTAGAGCTTGCATGTCTTGCGCAGCTTAGTATCTTTGGAACTACAGCTTGTCACATCGTGCGAATTAGATGTATATATATATATACATAGGTATGTATCTATACATATACACATACATATACATAGAACACACAAATAAGCATGATGGGTTGGGTCTCCAGTTTGGACAAGGCCAGACCTCGTCATGCTCCTGTGCAACGCTGGAGACCCCAACGTCGCCGTCCCCGCCTTGGTAAGCGAGAGCTGAAAGGAAATCAACCACATCTTCTGTACGAAACGGTTGTCAGGTTCGGATGGAGCGTGCGTCTGTTTGTTTAGTGTGGCGGGGCGGAGGGTTTGCGCCTGAACTCGGGGGCCAAAAGTTGTACTGAAGAGTCTCGTCAATGTGAAGAAGCAATGTGCAAACCCAAGCACCCCTGAAGCTCCGCGCCAAACTCTAGAAAGAAACCGGCGAGCAACAGAGGTACCTTGGTGCGAAGATCAAATCGTGAGTAGGTCTCCGAGCCTATGGTCAGGCTTCAAAGGATGTGTTTCGCGTTCTGGGGCCCAAAACCATGTGATCCGATGGTCTGCTCATGCGTGCTGACAAGGCAATGTATGCCCCGAGACCTAGGACAGCGTAAGATACTGCAGCACTCCACAGAACTGCATGATAAACGCCCTAGCAACCCTCGTTGAATGGTCCGTTGGGCTCTTCTTTTTCGAACAGGAATTAAAACCATTTAAAACCTAAGTCAGAAGGAACTCCCAGCATAAGCCCGGCCCAAGAAAAACCAAGAGCCGGTCTGATGGTATCGAGAAACAGCGGGAAGACCGTGCCTCTTCAAGACTTAGCTGTTTCTCCTTTCTCTGTAAGGAAGCGAATTCTCGGTGCCGGGTTTAGGGTGTCGGGAGTCAGGTTGTCACCGTACTTCGTGACAGCACGGGGCTAACGGAGTCCAGGCTTCAATGGGTTTCACGTTACAAGTGCACCTTGGGGCGAATTCTAATTGCGGAGCGCCAGCGATGCATAAATTGGGCAGCTTGCGCCAGGCAACTGCACCGCTCAGACAGCCTACATATTTTGTGAAGAAACAGCCAGAACAACAACCTGAGTGGAACCACGAATGGCCTCCGTCCTCGTAGTCATCCAGGAACAGCGAGGCAGACATAAAGCGATGGGGCCACAAATATTTGTTGAAGTTATCCAGATGTAGGTTCGCCAGCTCTGCATTGGGCTTGTAGAGGTGGTATATAGCCTTCAGGGAGGGGAAGACTTGCACCCCCTGTAATACCGAATCGTAGACCCGTAGCTGCAAGCCATGAGCCAAAAAATTGTCCCAGGCCCCCGTCAGTGCTCGCGCTGCCTCCACATTGTTGGGATGTACGCCGACCATTGTGCCCACTCCTAGGCATTCTCTGATGCACCTACAGATCAAAAAGCGTTATGGACGCGCTGGATTTCTGATCCTTCTACTACAGGGACGACAACTAAGCTGCCTTGAAAACACGCAAGCGAGCAAGGAACCCATAATGCTTGTGCAATCCAAAGCAAAGGCACTCTGCATCATCGCGATCATAAAGTCTGGGGGCTCCTGGCAAGAAGCACTTTTTGGTTTTGGGCGCATTCAAGCAACATCTGAGCAACAGACTAACTCGATGCCAGAGATTCCGGTTGAGGGACGTCGATGGAGATCTGACAGCCAAGCCCGACACCGCAAAACCTTGACCGGTTTCTTCCACTGCCCATCTGCTTGTGAAAGGCTGCACGATTTCGGGATATGTGTACTCTAAACAGGTTGCCACTCAGCCGGCAGCTCCCTGCCGGAAGGCAGCAGGACACCAGCCATGGGTCATGAAAGCTTGATCGACATTCTGTTGGTTCTACTCCAAACCAAACCCCGACCTTTTCGTCTCCTGAAAATAGAAAGACAGTTGATCTGGATCTTGCATTCGCATCCTCGGCCAGTGGTGGAAGGCAACATGTGGACTGAACCTTGTTCAATGGTTTAGGCTTGTGGCTGACTCATAGGGTTGAAAAACTCGCGATGGCTACCTCGCAAGGGAGATTGGTAGAAATAAGGACGCACCCTCAGTTGCTCGGTTTCAGCTGTCACTGCTCACTTTCTGCAGCTGCTCAACGGTTCACCGCTCAGATGGCTCAGACAGAAGTTCGACAACTCAAAACTGCCATTGCTGTGCTCAGACAGACAGATATTCCATAATTACTCAAGTACATGATTTCAGTACCCCTGCTTCTCAAAATCAACCGCCATGGCATCGATGCCGAAAAATGTCAGTGTCCTCACTGGGCGAGGGGACCCACCCGAACCAGTGTTTAAAATGATCGTTTTGGGGTTGGGGGATATCCACACACTTTGCGAAGTTCACACAGGGCTGGAAATAACACGGTGACCATCTGGAGCTATAGGTTCAAATGCCAAAGGAAGCCGCATCCGGGGTGTCTGCAGGAGCGCATCTGGTGCTACGACGGTTACCAGTACTGACCCATCCCGAATATACTTTTGCTACTCTTCTTTCTACATATGGTTTGCTCCTGATGGCAGCGGTAGTGGTAGTGCTGGCGCTGGCATGCTCTCGCTGTTGTTGCTCTTCCTGATTCTCTTTTGCGTTCCCAAGAACTATACTATAGAATTGCATAAGGCTCCCGTCACAGCCAGACAATGTCGAAGGTCCTAACCGAAAACCCAGCCCACACAAATCCTGAGTAGTCGTCTGTACGACAAGCCCAAGTAGCCCCTTCCTCACAACATTTCAGGACAAACAGAAGCCAGGTTTCAGTGGCCTCTTGCCCAAGTTTCCTTACAGCCGGCCGACAGAAGGGATCGACAGGGTTTACGTTTAGGCCTTGATGGCGTGGAGTTTGCGAACGGTTAAAAGAGATGTGATTGTGACTGGGAAGTTGGATGTGGCATTTGCGCGTTTACAGACTGACCTGATCGGGCAGCTTAGTCAACCCTGAGCTTAGGGGTTGAACCAGAAACCCCAAACCCTAAACCCACGGTTTAGGGCTTTCGACGTGTGAGGTATTTGGCCTGCATGTTGTTAGACTCCAGACTAGATCCCAGAGTGTTCGGGGGCTTGTATGGAGCCCTACCTTGCCTGTCAATCAAAGCAAAACAAACACAAACCCTAAACGACCCTCCCGCACGAGATGTTCGCCGACGGCATTTACGCTCGCATTTACTTAGCTGCATCAAGAAGGATTGTAAGTTCGGAGTTTACGCGGGCTAGTATGAAAGGACTTGTAGTCCTCTGCGACCTTTGCTGAGCACCACAACTACTCGTTTAGGGGCTTGCCGGTGTTAGCCCCTGCAGTAGTAGAACGTAACGTTCTTCAGCCCTGTAAACATGAATCAATATGTATAGACGTATAAAGAAGCAGTTTTCTCCCTGGAACCCCAAAACCGCCAACCACATAACGCTTATCGCCTCAGCCACTGCCGAGCCACCAAAGCCAGAAGAGGAGTTGACAGATCCTGGCCTGCCGTTTTTTTAGCTTCCGAGCTGTTTCGTGGAACGGCCCTTTGGATTTGTGTAGGCTTCCGAGTTGAACGTTTAGGGTTTAGGGGGTTTAAAACCGAAGATCTACGCTGCTCGCACAAGGCGACCCACATGCATTCTTGTTGCCGCAACGCAAGATGCTCCTCATCCTTTCGTTGCTGCGCAATTCTGAAACCAAGCCTGGTGACGCTGACGACCAATGGACGGAATCCCGCGCAGCGGCGTGCCGCATGCGGTGTCGTTGGTGTGCACTTGTTGGGTCTGTGGGGTTGTCGTGGTTTGTCGTCTTCAGGATAGGGTGTGCAGGTATGGACCCGGAAAGTGAAGGCTGAAACAGGAGCAATGAGTCTTACATGCCCTCAGAGTTTGCGGTTGCGAGCATTAAGCGATTAGCTTCAGGGTTGAAGCCGATTCCAGTCTTGAACGGAATTTCTAGCCATCTTCTTAGGAGTTCGACATGCTGTGGATCCGGCCGTGTCGTGACCATCTCGGAGCTGTCACCAAAGTAGATAAGCGCCTCCAGCCTCCGCTTGAGGAGCATCTACCGCCGATGATACTGCGGTGAATGGCAGTAATGTTACTAGAACAGTGGTATTACAGCTACGTCTGCTCTTTCTTTGCCTTCTCGGCGCCTCTCGCAGATTTCTACTGCGTGACATTCCATGTGTTTGCCTTACTCCAACGACCACTGCTACTACGTACATGTGACAACGACGAAGAATAAAACAATGTAGTGACGGTTACGGATCAAACACTGCAGCTTTGCTAGCGCAATGCTAGGGCCCCGCGCATGAGCCAACGCAGCAAAGCACACTCCTGGCCACAGAACAGCTTGGAGTCACTAGATCAACAGCTCGCACCATGACCCTCCTATCTTCATACGGTGATCGTTTGAGTGATATGCGCTCAAAACTTGAGGAGTGTGCATGGGGATGATGCAATGGAAGCTAAACAGGCATGCGAGATTGCCAAGCCTTGGGAGTGAACATGTGGGTGATCCGCAAGACTTTCGGTCTGACACTGAGCAGGATCGGGATGTAGGGCTCTGTCCGCTCGAAGTCTTTGCTGAGGTTGGCCGTCCAAGCGGCCATGGCAGCTCAGCGCCTTTGTCTGCAGCTCTTCTTCATCTGTGCCAGCTCGCAGTTGGCACTGCACGCAAGTCGGCAGGGTTGGAGCCTTTACGTCGGGGATCTGAACACAGCCAAATGCCACCGTCCGGGAAGACAAGTTGTTGAGGCGGTACGTGCTTCGCATGACAGCCTGCACCTCACTTCTAATACGGGCAACGTTAAATTGGCAGCTAGCACTCCCGTGGCGCATTCATTCCAGAAGCTGTGCAAGCCAAGAGAGGATGGAGAGATGACGAAAGAGAGCACGAGAGAGAGAGGGAGAGAGAGCGAGAGACTCAGAGAGACGGCCGATGCAAGTCGAGCGAGCGGGGACAAGATCCCGGCACGAACCAAATTCTGTCGGGCTTTCCAAACAAATTACACACAAGGTGTAAGAGGACAATTGAGATGAGTCACAAAGCAATATTTAGGTAAGCAAATGCATCTAGAGATGTGGATATAGATCCAGATGCAGATGTAGACACCTGAAAAACCAGACAGACAAATGGATAGGTGGACAGACCGCTAGAATTGGATAGTTATTCTGAGCATAGGTGCATCCACATTTCTTTGGCTAGAAGCTGCGCAGTTTTGTGCTTTCTAGGGGAAGCTGCCAAACGTCGCCAAGCACACCCATATGATATTTTACCAAGTGACCACTAGCACTACTTCTGGACCTCTAGACTCTAGAGACCATCCGAACCGTCTTCAGCATCCGCACCACTATTGCCATCCGCATCCTGATCTATATCCTCCTGAGCAATATCAACATCATCAAGAGTTCCAATGACTTGAGCTCAAGTATGATGGGACTAAGGATCCCTAACACCAGCTAAAGCCACTTTCGTGCTACCATAGTTCTGACAATAACGCGAGAATAAAAGCTCACCGCTTCGCTCTCCCTTCGGCCCTAAACCCTAAACTCTCTGAGGCGGTAAGGGTAAGACTTCATTTTTTCCTCCGCAGGCAGCAAAGGGTCAGGGCTTCTGGCTCTGGCTGCCCGGCGCTGCAGAGGGCCCGGCCTGGCGTCTCGAGTCGAAACGGGTTTTCGGAGGTTGCGCGCTCAGTTCGGGGTTTCATAGGCGGGAAAGGTCCAGAGTTCGGGGTTTAGGGAGCCGGTGACTGCTTACAGTCCCGCGTGTTCTTTTCTGGCTGAAGAACGTACTAGACGCGCACCGGTTGAGAGCAGAATCTTCGCTCAGCCACTTGGGATGCCTCAGGCTTCGCCAAATCCGAAGGGCTCGACATGTCGACAATTGCTTGGCCGTCCGGACCGTCCGGAGGCACAACAGCGAGCGGCTCGCTGTCTTGCCTACAGAGTTGGTGTCATCGCAACCCCGGCTCGGAAAACCCAGCGCTACGCAAACTCACCAAGCCTCATGATCCGCGTTTACCGAGCGCCGGAGACCGGTGAGCGAAGACCACCCGGGAGGTCTTCAGGAGAAGAGACATCCCACCCACTTCAATGCTCTGGTGTGAGTCACCGCCGGAGGCGAAGACTCATGGTGAGCAAAGATGTTCGAACACTTTTGCTGAGAAGTCTTGGTCAATGAGGACGCGGTTGAGGAGGTCCAGGTTCTTCCGTAGCAGTACAATAGCATCAACTCTTTCAAACGCTTCTTGAAGAAGGGGCGCTCAAACAGGCCCATAGCATTCCCATAGCCAACTCTTGCCCACTCTGCCGAAAACGCTCAGCGTCCTTGCCGTGTCGTACGACTGTACGGCTTCGCCCTTCGCCCTCAAGCACAGTGGGCTCATGCCCTGACGATCCAAAGAGATTTCAACTGGTGTTCAATAGGGAGCTTCAGGGTTTGCAGAGTCAACTCCACCTTTACATCGAATTCTGACTTGCTCTTAAACGAGCTTGCACGTGCAACGACGTCATGTAACCCAAGGCCTGTGCTCTAGGGACTTCTATCGTGCAAGCTGGGCGAATTGCAGTCTGTTGGCCCAGTCATCTAGACTTCACCTAGCAACAAGAAATCACAGACAATCAATCTCGTCTGGCAAACCCTGATGAGACTCGCTTCTCCTTCTCATGCTCGCCAGGACGCCAAGCCTTTGGCATTAGCGCCTAAAGGTTCCCCGACTCGCATAGGCATCCCGGAGCTCCGTTTCATCGCGCCCCTGATCCCTAGATCCCATATGCGCCTCAAACCGATGGCTCCCAATTTACTCAACCCAAGCTGGAATCTCGACCTTCGACACTCGACCCTCTGCCAAGCCCTGAGGAGATCCAAAATTCCTGCTTTTCTGAATCTCTCCACTCGACGACTCGAAGCCGCCGTGAACCCTGAATCCAAAAACCCGGACGCCTCCTGCGTCGCCGCGAAGGCCCGGGCCTCAGATGCAGTAGGCGAAGGGGAATTAAATTCACGTACGACGTCTGCAACACCATGTGAGTCATGAGTGAGGTTCTTGAACCTGCATGTCCCTATTTGGGCTGTCTCAATTAAAACTGTTTTCTGGCTATGTTATAATTTAACACGGCCATAAAGCAATGCTCGGCTCTTTTATCCCGTCGCATTGGCGGAATCTTCCACCGTCAACACAGATGGCCGCTTGCCCCGGAACTTGCGGTACTCCATCTTCAAGAGGCGCCCTGCCACCCACACACAATATCGAGTAGTAGTGGTAGTGGTGGTGGTAGTAGTAGTAGTAGCAGCAGCAGCAGTAGCAGTAGCAGTAGCAGCAGCAGTAGCAGTAGCGGCAGTAGTAGAAGCAGTAGCAGTAGCAGTAGCAGTAGCAGTAGCAGTAGCAGTAGCAGCAGCAGGATCAGCAGCAGGAGCAGCAGCAGCAGCAGCAGCAGGAGCAGGAGCAGGAGCAGGAGCAGGAGCAGGAGCAGGAGCAGGAGGAGCAGGAGCAGGAACAGGAGGAGGAGCAGGTGGAGGAGGAGGAGGATGAGGAGGAGGAGGAGTAGTAAGAGAACAAGAAGTAGTGGTAGTGCTAGTGGTGGTGGTAGTAGTAGTAGTAGTAGCAGTAGCAGTAGCAGTAGCAGTAGCAGTAGGAGTAGTAGAAGTAGGAGGAGTAGTGTAGTAGTAGTAGTAGTAGTAGTAGTAGTAGTAGTAGTAGTAGTAGTGGTAGTAGTGGTAGTGTAGTGGTAGTGTAGTGGTAGTAGTGGTAGTGGTAGTGGTAGTGGTAGTGGTAGTGGTAGTGGTAGTGGTAGTGGTAGTGGTAGTAGTCGTCGTCGTAGTGGTAGTAGTAGTAGTAGTAGTAGAAGTAGTAGTAGTAGTAGAAGTAGTAGTAGTAGTAGTAGTAGTAGTAGTAGTAGTAGTAGTAGTAGTCGTAGTCGTAGTCGTAGTCGTAGTGGCGGTGGCAGTGGCAGTGGCAGTAGCAGTAGCAGCAGCAGTAGCAGTAGCAGTAGTAGTAGTAGCAGCAGCAGCAGTAGTAGTAGTAGTAGTAGTAGTAGTAGTAGTAGTAGTAGTAGTAGTAGTAGTATAGTAGTAGTAGTAGTAGTAGTAGTAGTAGTAGTAGTAGTAGTAGTAGCAGTAGCAGTAGCAGTAGCAGTAGCAGTAACAGTAGCAGCAGTAGCAGTAGCAGCAGTAGTAGTGGTGGTGGTGGTGGTGCATGTAGTAGCTATAAACAGTAAGTCATTTCCACAAAGGGCGTGAGTGTAGCAAGCTGTTGCTTCTGCTGTCGCTGTTGTTGCTGGCGTTTTTGTTGTCGTTCTTCTTCTTCTTCTTCTCGTTGGTGCTGCTGCTGGCTTGTGCCAACGATCGTTATGCTTGTCCTCCTCCTCCTCCTCCTCCTTCACCATCGCTACCACCACCAGCATCCATGTCACTATCAGCCTCACGCTCACCCGCATCCACATCATGAACACAACCAGCACCGCGACAGTAACTATATAAAGAGGCATGGGATCGGGGTCAGAGACATCATGTAAATGCATACCTTCACCTGCAGCGCTTTCATCATTAGCACCAACATCATCGGCACAATAATTGTCATGGTGAGTACTGTACCACCACGGTCGTCCGTACAAGCATCATCATCCTTCATCATCGAAGTCATATCTTCATCATCGCCGCCATCGTCATCACCATCAGATCACCATCGTCATCATCATCACCAACATCTCCATCATCGCCACCATCTCGATCTTCATCACCATGACTACTAATCACAAACATCATCCTCTTCGTCATCGACGAAGTGATGCCTGTGTGCGTGTGTGTGTGTGTGTGCCATGCAGATTCCTACATCACGTCAAACACAGTTTGAGGTTGGTCTAGGGCTTGGCTCGAAATTCCGCTCGGAATGCTAAACCACCATCCCGAAATCCCCAAAGGCCCTAAAACTCCACAACCGGTGGCGACCGGCCTGCAGCCCCGAAGCTGATGAAGCTCAGCAGAAGTGCCAGGTACCCCATGACCCCGACCTCCCCAAGGAGGCTTGAAAGGGATTTCACAAAGTACTGGAAGGCGTTTGAGTGCGTAGTGTAACCAGTTCAGGGTGGGGTGGGCGGTTTTGTGGAAACAGGGATTTCTGAGGTTGGGGACTGAAGCGATGGCGCTATGCGTTGGAGCACACATGATACGTAGAATCACGAGGCCACTGCATTTCAACTCTAAACCTCAACGTTGAAGCTGGGGCCCAGAAATCCTCTACCATACATGCGGACCACATTCCGAAATAAATCAGAGACAGAAGGACCACCCAACTGAGACCGGAAATCAGAACACCCTGAATATTTTTGGTGACTTGGGCACCCTGCCCAGAGCTGTGTGCCCTGCCTCACCACTTCGGAAGCGGGCCACCAAGAGGAGGAGAAACCTGCCACCAGCTGCTTCTGCTGCTTGCTGCCGCCGCAAAATTCTAAACCCAAAGGCAGACCTATGTCTGGTTTCGACTGGCGCATGCGCAAACTGCTTCGCTGAGTCCTCCTCGTCCTCCCCCGGACATTTCATTGCAAGAATGACGAGGACGACAGCAGCGACGTGTTGCCAGTGGTATGCAGCATCGTCATCAGCATTGTCGTTTGTTTTTGGTTTGGCCGTTGCTGCTACTGCCACTATCATCATATTCCTCTGCACCACCATCGACCGACGACCGACGAGCTGTGAAAAGTGAGAGTCCTTGCACCACTGCCACGCCTGTGAATCATGGCCCCGAAGTTCTGGAACTCCATGATCCGCATGTTCACCAAGTGAAGCCACCACAAGAGGAAGCTCAACCTTTTGCAAAGCTACTTGTAGGGCTAGAATCTAGAAGCCCTCACACCTTGAAGCTCTTAAGTTCTAAACCTTTAAGCATTGCAGTTCCTACACCCTGAACCTCACAGCCTCTCAGGACCTTGTTCTTTCCAAGGATTCGAGTTTGCGGCGTCACGGGTTTCAGGGTCGCATCAGCAAGTATCCCTGGATTCAGCTTACTTTCTTGTACATGGTGTGGCCTGGAATGGTGACGCACAGCCAGGGCATACTTAGCAGCTGAGCGTATGGGGCGCGGGAGATTTCATGGTTGGGACTTCATGTGAGCCGTTTCACAGGGACGCCAAAAGGTCAACAACCCAAACCCTCCAAATATCGGACTGTCTAAGCTCCTCAGCAGGTGGCTCCAAATTACACTTCCACCAAAGTGGTGCTTCCTACTCTTGGCTCTAAAATAGAACCCCACAATACCAAGCAGCCGACCATGCCAGCTGTCGACATGATAGTTGCTATTGGGGTAGACGGGTAGACAATGCCACCAGCACGATCCATGTCAGGCTCACGACTGCTTCCTGTACTATGATGGTGACGATGCTCATGGCATTTACGTTGGTCCTCATGGCCGTAGCAATACTCGTCGTCGTCCAGCACTGCTACTTCTACTGCTCAGCTACTGCTGCCCTTACCAAGACAGCGGCGATGACGACCACTACTGCTAATGCTGCGACCACAAGGACTACTACGTCTACAAACCAATACTGCATGGCTGCTGCCACTGCAGCGACTGCAGCGACTGCTGCTGCTGCTGCTGCTGCTGCTGCTGCTGCTGCGATTACAACTACAACTTCTTGCTCTTGTCTTCCTCCTCCTCCTCCTCCTTTACTACTACTACTACTACTACTACTACTACTACTACTACTACTACTACTACTACTACTGCTAGCCCCTCCCCCCCGCCAACTGTGCTTGCCAAATCCGGCAGCCTCTAGCGGCATAAGCTGCGGAGGCTCGGGCTCCCCAGCCGCAACGGTTGAGATTGCAAAGGCTCAGGCTCTCTCACTGTGACAGCAGCTGAAGCTGCAAACTAGACAGGGAAGCACATGCCAAACCAAAGGTGGTAGGAGAGTACGAAAACGTTATGCATACCGCGTAAAACGCAATTAAACTACCACAAAAAAATTAAGTCTAACGCTATCAAACAATGAAGCGGATAAGAAAGGAAGCCAAACGGGCTCATCAACACTTCTAAACCCGAACCTCGGAAGGAGAGGGTCTGCCTACGGCATGCTCCTCCTCCAGTGAATGCGGCCGCTGGAGTCCCTCCTCCTCACGTCCTCCTACTCACCCACTTCTTGACAGTCACGGGCACAGCCGGGCAGCATCATCGCGGCGACCGTGAAGCACAGATCCGGCTCGCCGGGCAGCGGCCCATCGGCATAAACGAAGACCTCGAACTTTTCGGAAAGGCTCATTCCTGTAAGGTGTGTGAGCGCTTGGGGCAACCCCCAAGCTCGAGCCCTAAAACTTTGGGCAAGTCGCCTGCTTTCTGAGATTTTGGGTTGAACACGTGGGCTCCTGAATAATCGGCTTATAGAATCAAGGGCACTCTAAATTGGTGTCGTCTCTGTCGCGAGCTGGTATGATACGGACTTTCTCAACGTGAGTAGTCGTGCCACCGCCGGCTGTACCCATGCATTGAAACTGTCGAAACAAGGATTGCTTTGAATCAGGAATGAATGATGCGATGCATGGACTTACAATGCTGTGCGGCCATAAAGCACATGGCAGCCATCTCATGCGAAGCAAAAGCCTGAACCCTCTCCAAGCCTGGAAATCCCTAACCAAAGGAGTTCGGATTTCTTCCAGAGGCGGGGCGAGTCCTTCGGGAAGGCTTGAAGGCTTGCACTTCAAGGAGGTTTACCGCTTGATGGGCTCTAGGGTTTGAAGGGGTTTCATATTTAGGTGGAATTAGCATTTCTGCCAGGGAGCCACGAGAACGCGGCACATTGTGGACAACATAAAGCATACGACGCCACAGAGGAAGCTCAGGCTGCACACCAGATACCTTGAAAGTTCAGGCTTTTGCCATTGCAGGGAGGCAGGGGTGGCTTCCGGTACTTCGCGTTTCTTCGTGGTATCCCTGTCAGTGATGACGTTGGATCAAAACTCCGCGTCGCTGAGCAGAGCCA